CAAGTAGAAGGCAAATGTTTTGAGAATGATGAGGGAAACCAATGTACAAATGTGCTTGACACAATGGATGGATGGATGGATTGTGATAAGAATTGTACAAGCCCCTAATAAAATGATTAAAAATAATAATAATAAATCCAAGAGAAAGGGGAAAAAAAAAAGGAAATGATGGTGGTGGCCTATATGTAAATGTGCTTGACACACTGGATGAATGTATGGATTGTGATAAGAGATGTAAGAGCCCCCAGTAAAAGTATTTAAGGGGGAAAAAAAAAGAATAAGTAGATAGCCTCATCCTCTTCCTCAGAGCCCTGACCGGCGCTTGACCCACTGCTCCCACCAGAGCTCCCAGCATGGCTTCCACAAAGTAGGAGTAAGCTGCTTCTCGGTGACCAATGTCCCTTCCCTGGAATCTAAGGGTGTGTGTGTGTGTGTGTGTGTGTGTGTGTGTGTGTGTGTGCATCATGCCAGATTAGAGTCACCAGCCACCCTGCCTCTTGCAGCTTGGGCACCTGAATGAGAGAGTGTGAGGCTGGTGGTGGTGGTCAGAGCAGGGTGCGGGGAGGGTCAGGGCAGAGGCGGGTCCCAGGCCCCTAGAGTAGCAGACCTTGCCCATTGAGCTTGACAGGGTAGCAGCAAGCTGTGCCCATGTGGATTCGGCCACCGGAGTGGAGGGAACCCATTTCCCAACTGCCGGGGGGACAGCTGCTCCCTTCCTCCGCATGCACCCCTATGTGGGAAGCAGCCCAGGGCCTGGGGAAGGATCCGGAAGGTGGGGTGTAGCCATGGCAAGGAGTGGGCACTGGCCAGGCAGGTCTCAGTGTCTCCCATGCTTGTCTCTGCACAGGTCAGCACCTCAGCGATGCGTTCATCCAGATGAACCCCCTGAGGAAGGTACCAGTCTTGAAGGACGGGGACTTCACCTTGGCTGAGAGGTAACTGAGCCAGGGGCCGTGCTGGCAGAAGAACAGTCTTCTCTTTCATGGGCAGGAGAACTGAAGTCCTCAGGGACTGCGGGTCTGCTGCTCACTGCTGTCCCACTGAGAATGTAGGTTGAGCCCCAGGCTCTGCCTGCCCGCTGCTCCCAGAAAAGCCTGGTCAGAAATTCCCTCTGGACGCCTGACAGGCAACTCTTCTGCCTTGTGTTAGGATAAGCCTGTGCATTCGTGTCTGGGAGAAAGCGCCTCTAAGACACTGACAGCATGGGTGCCCTGGGCGAGCTCTGTCACCTTTCCAAGCCTGATTTCCCTGTCTGGGAAACGGGGGTCACACGTTGGCAGGTTGGCAGGAAGATTTCAGAACATACTCAGTATAAAGCCCCTAAGGAGCCCCAGGGGCCTAGGGGTTACACACTGGGCTGCTTGCAGCAGGGTCAGTAGGCTGAAACCATCACCCGCTCCTCAGGAGAAAGACGGGCTTTCTACTCCCATAAAGAGTTACCGTCTCGGAAACTCGCGGGGGCAGCCCCACCTCCTCCTATAGGGCAGCTATGAGTCAGCATCAGGTGGGTGGTGGTGAGTGAGAGTGTGTGACAGTGACCTTCCCCCACACATCATGTCTATCTCTCACGTGCGCGCAGTGTGGCCATCCTGCTGTACCTGGCCCGGAAGTACAAGGTCCCAGACCACTGGTACCCCCAGGACCTGCAGGCCTGTGCCCGTGTGGATGAGTACCTGGCGTGGCAGCACACCACCCTGCGGAAAAGCTGCCTGCGAGCCCTGTGGCATAAGGTGAGGTCCCAGCGGGCATCACCCCAGAGGGGCTCAGGCACATGGCACTCTTTCCAGCCTGGGTACTTAGTGTTGGTCTGTCTTTTAGTCCAAT